AAAAAACAGTTTCTAAGGATTTCTTAGAATGAGGGTAATGAATTTTAAAACCAAAAATGCTTTTCTTCTTTGCCAATTTTCAAGAAATGGTCAAGCAAATAACATAATCGAGATGAAAATGGGCTTTGTGGTTAAAGAAGAAGGCTTTGGAAAAGACGCAAAATTTTTGCGCTCAATGATAGATGAATCTGCATGACTTGCATGATAGGCAATACACTTACTACGCTACACGTTCCCTGCAGGGCATTGTCAGTGAAGGTCTCACTAATCTACAACCCTTGCCGGTCCATATAACCTTCTAAAAATCGTTGGCAGATAAGAAAGAAAGGTTAAAGATTTGTATTCCTTTGTTAGATCTTCGCATGTCTAGACGGGTATCTGCATCGATTAAATTAGTTCAACAGAATATCATAAGTCATACTATAAGGAAGAATTGTGATCAGAACGATTCGAAAGCGACCCTTGACAATGATGCACCTTTGACCGTAAATAAAATCTTATGAATGATGACCACGACATCTAGTCTTTTCAGTTTTTATATCTATATCTGTTATTTATATAAGGAGTTGTTATATTGCGAAAGACTGAGAAGGGAGCTATTCTATCTAAACGTTTAGTTTACATGTACATATTGTAGACATGTCCTTCCACCCATAATTCCTACAATTTTGCTAATGGGATTTTCTTTGAAATTCAATAATTTGCTGTGAAAACTTTGAGTTTGTAACCAAAACCAAAGACGAGCGATCGAAACCAAGCCGATGTACGATATCATTTCTTCGCAAGCGAACTAGAGAGTCAACCAGGCATAATCAAACAATATTTCTATGGAAAGTTTGTAACACTCAGCTGATATGGGAACTAATAGATTAATATTAAATCTCTTTATCCAGTTAACTGTACTTACCTAAATATAAACCTTTAGCAGTGAAGAAAAGTTTCAGATCTTTATTCGTCCAGTGGCAAGAATTATTAAAATATATTCCGAAAATAGAGAAGCAGTATAATCAGGGAATTGTTAACATAAGAACTTTGAGGAACGATAACTTTACGTTTTAAATTTTGAAACAAAAAAAGAGTTGATTGGGTGGAAGGTTGCTCTTGGCTCTATCAGTTGACCGCTTCGGATTACATTGCTTTGAGCAAGCTGAAGAATAAATTTTTTTTCCTTCTGCGAGGCAACAAAGATATGCTAAGTCATGAGAGTTGGATAAGTTAAGAAAAATGTTTAGTAACTTTCTTTCTCATTTTCCATCAATTCCATGGCATTGCTTTCATCTGGTATTTATGGTGACGATGTGAGGAAGGCTAGTGTCTTGCTCTTTAAAAAGAATTTGAGAAGCACATAAATTACGAGCGACGAATTGGCTGATATCGTTTGTATCAGTCTTTTCACTTGTGACACAACGCAACACAAAACTTTTTTTTTCAAATATAAAATTATTTGGAAAGTTTCTAGTGTGGCACACTCCTTGTCTCATGGATTCAGGTTCGTTCACTTAATATCATAAATAGTTCTTCTGATGGTTCTAATCTAAGAACTTATGTTTGCTAATATTTGCCAACAAAACGGTTTTTTTCATATATTGAATTGTTTGGAAAGTGCCTCAAGAACTTTCATATTTGCGTTTTTCGCTCCATTGATTAATTATCATTTCCCTTTTTAAATCAATGCATTAGTAAACTAGGGATAGTTCGGCAGCAACGACTCGTAATTCTGATTTGAAATAGAGAATTTTTTGTTGAATGAGCTGTCAGTTGTTGATGCTAGTGGAATCCTTTGGCCTAATACCTAATAAAGGATAGGGCCGATATAGGGATACTCCGTTCGGGTCTTTTCAGTTCTGTTAAGCTTTAGGTTATTAATGTGCCAAATAAAAAGTTATATAAGATTTTTTTTCTAATACACGTGCTAATTTCAAGCGAGTTCTACCTTGCTGTATATGTGCGAAAGTAGTCGCCGTTGTGCCTCGCAATAGCAGCCATTTGTTCAAACTGGACCTATCTTTTTGTGCATTCTCAGCACGTTTCATTGCAACCTTATGAGAAGAGATGATGAGCTACTGATCTGCAAAGTTCTTTACATGCACCTTCAAAACATTTGTTAGGAAATGTTGCACTTCCCGTTTCTAAAATCTCGGTTTCCATCTTCATGCCTTGAAACCGTATCTAAATTCGGCCGTCTTCATATAGCTCCCCACAGTTTTGCGCTGCTAAAAAGAAACTACTGTGGACGAACTGACTCTTGGACAACTTCGCATCAGCTGATACATTCCAAAAATTTCCTAACAGACTTCGATTGCCACTATAGCTGAAATGATAGTAAATTCTTGTATCGAACTTGTTCGTAATGAAATTATTCGCACAAATGAGTAAGAACCACTATTTCAAAACACGGGTTCCACTGTTTGAGACTAGTAGTTTTATAGTCATAATTAATACTTATTAGAACTACTATTCTAACTATAACTAGAGAGATTTACCGAATTATTTCAGTTATGCGAGAAGTATGGATAATCTGAAGTTCATTCATTATTTTGAATAGTCAAGATTGGAAAAATTGTCAAATTAGAGAGTTGTCTTAGAGAAACAACAAGGAGTTTTATTATCTTGGGGATACTTAAATCATGAAAGGCAAATTGAGAGCTACATTATCTTCTTATCGACTTATCTGCGGAATGGGTAATTATATACAATTACTTAAAACTTTCTACGCTTGTGTGCTAACCGTTCTGGACTTAACTTGCGAGGCAAATCTGTAAGTGTTACCCTGATGATTATCTGGTTGAAGACTGCGGTACTTATTTACATGGAAGTGCATTTCTGATTAATTGCTTGATTAAGGTGATCCGTTAGAATTGAACGGAAATTTTTTCATAGCACAAGGATGAGATGGCAGACATCTTGCATCATTCAGGAACGACGAAAAAATGGAAATTCCGATGGAAGTATTGAAACAGTTTGCTGAACTTGGCGCTTTCGGGGCGCTAGTCCCACCAGAGTATGAGGGCGTTGGTATGAACAACAGCCAGATGGCGAAGATGGCTGAAATTGTGGGGTCGCATGATCTTGCTCTTGGAGTGATAATGGGAGCTCATCAAGTGGGTTTTATCACATTTTGCAGCAACTTGACATCCGATCTGCTCAATGTCATTGATTGGAAAGAATTCTACTTTAGTCGATTGGCTATAAAGGCATCCTCCTATTTGGTACTGAAGCACAGAAAGCGAAGTATTTACCGGATCTAGCCAGCGGCCGTAAATTTGCGGCTTTTTGCCTGACGGAGCCGAGTAGTGGATCCGACGCTAATGTGAGTCCCAGGTTCCTTTCTTTAGTAAATCATTTTTTTT